ATACCCTAGTAGCACGTTTAAATTCATTCAGTTTGGGAACCAGCGGAAATATCCCGTCGGAGCAGTTACGGTGAAAGTATTTGTGGAAAAGACAGAGGGAAGCAACGGCACGTCTGTGAGAGAACGACTGTAAACGAGATGCCAGATGAGGGCCAGTCACATTGCATATACATCTCTGTATTTTGTTGAGGAACTTGAGGCGAACAGCGAGGGCTCCTGACCATATATGGCAGCAGTATTCCATGCAAGGTCAAATGGTTGATTTATAGATTTGAAGGATGAACTCGGGCGAGAGAAATTTCTGGTGAGACACAGAGAACCAAATTTCCTTGCAGTAGATGAAGCTATTGATTCAGTGTATTTGTTCCATCTCAGGTCAGCGGACAGTGTGGGACCAAGCAGACGAAAAAAAAATCCTTTTAAAATTTACGAATTAAAATATGGCATGGATATGAATACCGAAAAACCAAACTGACAACGAGCAATGAGGAAAGGCAAAGCCGGTGGTCAGAAACTTCAAATAGTGAGACAATTCAAATATTTTAGAACGATTATTAGCGAGAAAGGCTCCCGAACAGAAATAATTTCAAGAACAACACAATCAGTGGCAGCTATCGTAAAACCATCTGGACAATATCTGCCTAAAACCAAAGAGTTGACTGCTGTGTATATTGATCCTCTCAGTTCTTCTACGCGTCTGAGAATGTTGAAGATTAACAGAATAATTACAATGAAGAATTGAAGTATTAGAAATGAGGTACTATCGAACTATTCCAGACTGCAACACAGATGATGCAGTGCCACACACCATCTTAAACACCGTCAAGAAGTTGAAATAGCATCGACACAACAACCATTCTGCTGCCATCTTGCAATGTACCACCTTAGACAAAAGAACAGAGAAATGTGCTGACAATATCAATGTAATATCATCCACAGAAACTCAGACATTGACACGATACGGAGACATATAGACGGAGCTGGGGCCGTGTGCCACATCTAAGCTACGCTTAGAAGATCACCATAGAGTTGGTCAGGCGCTCTGCTGCGCAGCGGCCTAACGACCACATCCGGTCATAGGTCTGATTATGATGGATTACGTAGCTTTTATAGTGTCATTATGGTGGCTCAAATAGTTGCTACAAGTGCTATGCATCAGTGCTGGAGACAGAGGATGAATTTGAGTATCAAAAGGCTTAGGAGAGCTACAAAATCAGGCATAGAAGATCATATACGTAAAGAAAATCATTGCTATGTTTGGGGCGTTGTCACTATAAATAGCATAACACCATTGAAAATGTAAAATATAAAATATAAAAATAAGATATAAAACGAAAACGTATCAGCATATATGCAAAATATATTAAATATATAAAAAAAAAACTCTGTTAGTAATCCAGACATTAAAATTTTCTTTTCTAGATCCGTGCCTTCAGGGCGTAGTCTACCATGATTCTATAAAGTTCCCCATAATTTAATATCGGTGAATAGCCACGATTCTTTGAGAATTGTAGTGAGATGCTTTCCCGTTGCCTTCTATTTAAAAGTAGTCCCTTTTCTAGACTGCTTGCCAACCAGGGTTAGCGGGCCCAATCTATTTAACAGACACCTGAATAGGAAGAAGTAATACCTCCATAACTTTGACAATGACATTAGTGTGAAAGCGAATGCAGTAGACGTGGCAGTGATTTGAACACGTCTTATAGATTCCACTTTCGCGCCAATAAGTGTTGGCAATCTATTTGATACTGCATAAAATTTGCTTTAGACAAATAGATCACTGTACTTGTTTAAAAAAAAGCAAGGGACATAATCCAAGGGACATAGTCCGTCAACTGCAGCCCAAAATCCAGCTACCTGAATGCTGTGTAAATACAAAGAAACAAAAATAACGATACACCAAATGCATCATCGATCATTAAGAATTACTCACCTTAAAATCGCAAAAACAGGATTATAAGTCTTTACCTACTCCTCATTGAAGTTTGCTCTTTCTAATACAGAATCCCTGACAACCGAACTAAGAAGGCATTCCGGATATGAGGAATTTGTTACAAAATCCAGATATGAGGAGTTATATTTAGATAAAAATAAAAGAACTGAAATCAGGTTTAACATTTATTTTCAGTGTTTTATAGTAAACAAAATAAGCTAATGATGAGTGAAATATAATGGGATTGATTTTAAGGAAAAAGAAACAAATTATGTAATGCTAATGAAAATTCATTAAATTAAGTCTGCCACGTATGCAAAACAAATAATGTAGCGAGGATTTTTTTAATTGCTGTTTTGCATGATGATTCTTTCTCTTCTAATGTCATTCTCAACTTTTTCCGCATTTCGTTTGGCTTAGGTTGTTGAATTTTTTTAAACGAAAGACAATTTTTTACTCTGCAGGCATTACTGCAATCGTCATAGCTGAATGCTGGCTTTCTTTCCATAAAGCTAACAACCTTTTCAATAGCTTTTTCGATTTCAGTCCAGGTTTCATCACAATCATGCATCTCGTCACTATCTTGTTGCAGATGATGTTTCGTTGTCATCCTTTTCTCTTATTCCCATCATCTTTTGCGCCAATCCAAGCCATTAGGGTGAAATAAGTATAAGCAATTATCTAAAGTAAATTTCCTGAAAAACAGAAATTTCAAATCAGTTACATATCACCCTAATAGTTCAAAACCCTGTCCGGATATGAGGGATTCTGGATATGAAAGATTCTACTGTAATGATGGTGGGAAAATACTTATACTTTCTTATAACAATCCAGAAAACAACCCCCATGCTCTATCTTTACAAATGTCAGACCAAAAAATATCGTGGATAGAATTGTATGTACAGTCCTGTATTTGCTGCCTTCTCATAGTTCAGAAGCGTTTACGCGGCCTTGCAGGGGATGAACTATTCTCCATCCTAAACCCCTTTCCCACAGACGCATCGTCCCAAGCCACTTAATTACTCTCTAGTTATTTCCAGGGAAAATGTTCTGTCGAGCTATAGTCATTAGTTCAACTAGTTCAGACCTTTACAGCTACCAACCGCAATGTCGCATACACAGCGGCGAACCATCCTCATTCTTTTCGTATTCCATTGGTAAGAAGGAAGTTCCATTCAGTTAGCTTATCCCCCGAAATGTTATCGAACAGACTCCCGAGGGGGTGCTTCACATACTACAACAAATTTAACACCTTCAAATCAAGAACTGACCGTTGCGTATCATAATCTGAAATTAATTCTCCCTTGTTCCACCTACGTCCATACAAAATTCTCATTTAGTAACCATCTACCTTGAGTGGCTTTCGGACCTTGTATTGGGAAACTTTTAGTACTTTGATCTTTACCTTTTCTCCGACAGAGACGCATCGTCAATATTCTCTGTTTTGCTTTTTTCGTTATTTCGAAAAATATGACCAACTGGAAAGGTTGTTTTTTTGTGACGCGCTTCATCCGTTAAGATTTCATCGGACTGGGCTTTGTTGACGTTGCCACGTCTGCACATGCGCACGAAAGGAGAAACGCTGGGTAGTTTCAAAATTTGGTGGAGTAGTTAATGGCTGCTCCAGTTATTGCTACGCAGTAATTACTTATTTAAGACGTTGCATACTGAGAAAAACAATATTCGGAAAATGCTATCGAACTTTCAACGTCATGATCTTTTCAGTGGAATCTTTCAATGTATGGAGCTTGACCCGAAGCGAGAAATAAGAGCAGTTAGAGATAGACGTAGAAAAGTACAAAATGGACGTGTGTTGCTTAGAAGAGACAAATATTGGACCTGGTCTGAAAAGTAACCTCAGCAAAAACAAACACCATATGTTTAAAGACAGAATGCAGAAATTATAGAAACGGATTTATTGTCGACAGTAAATAGAGGAATAATGTACATCGATGTTGGAAATTATCAGACCGTGTGTCTAATACAACATCTAAGAACCACCATAGTCATAATGCTGAATAGTGACATTCCAAGAACAAGGCAGAAAGATTCCACTTTTCCTTTGCAGAAGTTTACAATCAAGGAAAATCTGCAACGAATCCGAAAACTTGCAGAGGACACAAAAGGCTGGGAAAATATTATCGAATCAGTATACAATGTCATTGAAGATGAGAGGACATGTTATTTTATGGCCTCAAATCGAAACAGTTTTCAAGATGATGATATTTTTTCTCAATTTCTGAAATCATCTGCATACCTTTTCTTTTTCTTCTTTTTTTTCTCTCCATCACCTCTCTCCCTGACGATCCTACAGTCAGTCATTTATTTGTCATGCGTGATACACACTTAGGCGATCATGTATCTTTCGATACATAACTGACGAGACAGATTTCTTTCCCGCAGTAGGTGGCCATTTCTATCTTCGGTAGACCAGTTGCAATACAAGCCTATAGTACCAGGTCTGTCATGCTATTTAACCATAGATGGGGGAGAAGAAGAAGAGGATTCAGACATTTCCCAAGGGTATTAGTACGTAATGGATCTGACTAGAATTCGAACTCCGGTCTCCGATTCCTCAATCCGAGCCGCTATCGATTACTCCACCGTGCCTACGCTGTGACAATATAAGATCTACCAAGAACGCTGATATATTTTAAGAGCCTCTACACAAATTTATCTATTATAAATTTGTATTTTTTTCTTTATGTTCTTCTTCTACGTGCTGTGTTTGTTCAGGACGTTGGTGATCATGGCTCTCCACGATTTCTTGTCTTTTTAGCAGCTCTTAATTAAGCTCTTTCTTTGTACTATTTTCCTATAACAATTTCCCTTTCTTTTATTCTCTCTTTCTGGCCCTCCGCCACCAGCTTTCTTAAATTTTTCTTCTTTCTCTAGATTTTTTGATCCCTCAAACTCTGACGCCATACTTTATTACGGTTTCTTTTTTAATTCTCCCTTCCCACAACCCTTTTAATGAAAAACAGATCTTTTCCAATCAGAGGCAACGATGAACAACTGTTTGTCTCACTGCACAACGACCATACAAAATACGCGTTGTTTGCTCGCATCAAAGTTTGGATGTTGTGTACGAGGGATGGCGACGAGCAGAGGGGCGGCTCAAGGGGAAGCGCTGTTTGTGGGGATGTTGTTTAGTGGGGTTAGGGGTGGCTGTCGGGAGTGAAATCCAATTTTTCAATAACGGAAATTGCTGCTTGGTGTGATAAAAAGCTAACGTCAGCTTAATTAGAGATGTTGAGAAAAAAGGATTTTTGTAATTCGAGAAGGAAAAAGAGTGAGGGAATGTGAGTGTGTGTAAAGATAAAAAGTAAACAAGAAAGAAAGAAAGAAAGAAAGAAAGAAAGAAAGAGACAAAAAAGAAAGAATGAAAGAAAGACCATAATATGACAAAGAGAGATAGAAATGAGTTGTAGGCTGACAAAGAAAGAAAGAAAGAAAGAAAGAAAGAAAGAAAGAAAGAAAGAAAGAAAGAAAGAAAGAAAGAAAGAAAGAAAAAAAACAAAAAAAAGAAAGAAAGACCATAATATGATAAAGAGAGATAGAAATGAGTTGTAGGCTGACAAAGAAAGAAAGAAAGAAAGAAAGAAAGGAAGGAAGGAAAGAAAGAAAGAAAGAAAGAAAGAAAGAAAGAAAGAAAGAAAGAAAGAAAGAAAGAAAAGATTAAATGCATAACAAAAAAAGAAAAAACATTTAAAACTTTAAAAAGATGGAAAATTTTCTTTGTAAAACTCGAAAGTAAATGAAGAAAACGCAGAAAAATAAATACGTATTTTAACAAGTTTCTTTTCTGAGAAAAAATAACTGAACTTTCGCTTCCATGTTTTTCGTCAGAGCATCGTAGTATTAGTAAATAGTAGCAGGTGTAATATAAATTAAGTCGTTGTTCCTGTAACATTTGTAGAGTTTGGACTTGTAAACTAACAACGGGCAAGGTTCGTCTCGTCCTGTACATGACCAGTATTGCAAAGAAAAAGAAAATTGCAACAGCTTCGCCGTTGGCTATCAACACAAGTTAGAATTCCTACCTTTCTATGTCGGATCAAAATCGAAAACTAAAGAGAAAGCAAAGAAAACTTTCTTGTGTTATATATTTTACAAAAACCATTCCTTTGAAATTTAAAAAACAGAATTTTCAATGTGAGCATTTTGATGTGTCCTGAATGTAATCTAGTTTAAATGAAAATGAAATATATTGTCTGCATTTATTTGACTTATTCCTTTATTGAATAAAAATCAGCTAAAATGATATTAAAATTCAATCTTTTATTAGTTTTTTAGTTAGATAGTTAGCACATACTTTCCGACCTGCCATTATCCCAGATAAACAATGGACCATCCCTGTTCGATTGCAAGGATTAACGAAAGAAAAGATATATCAAAGACGTTGTTTCGTTTTAGGGAATGAAGCAAGAAAAAGCAGATACAGCTACTAAAAGTTCATTAAACATCAACATTAGTAACATAAAAGTACCCCATACAGACTACAAGCCCCTAATCAACAATCTCATTATGACCAAATGGCAAGAGTTGTGGAACTCATGCAAAAAATAACAAACTCTACGAAATCAAACCCATCCTCAAAGAACGGATAGAAGCTAAAATTTCCAACAGAAAAATGTCAAGAAGAGAAGAAGTAGTAATGAGTAGACTTCAAATAGGCCACGCTGCTGTCACCCATTCACACCAGCTGAAGGGTGAAGAAGCCCCAATTTGCATTCCATGCCAGGACAACAAGCTGCAAGGATTTTGAACAAATACGATTAAGATACTACAGTGTAACCCGGATATAAGAGACCCGGATATAAGAGAAACCCGGATATAAGAGATATTTTCTCTGGTCCCAATTTAGAGCCTGTGTTAATGTATATAAAATAGACCAAACCCGGATATAAGAGAAACCAGGATATAAGAGAAACCCGGATATAAGAGACTTATTCTCCGGTCCCGACAACTCTCTTATATCCGGGTTACACTGTATCAAGAAAACAATGTGAAAGACATTTTCAACAAAACTGACCCAAATGACCTTTTAAAATTTCTAAAAGCAACAAAATTATATAACAAAATATAGTTGGTAAAGAACATAGCCTATAATCATCATGTACTAAATCCCAACACCTTTAACTATATCACGAAAATCAATAAACTCAGAAAAGATCAACAAGCAGTAAACAAAAACCAAACACATTCTTCAGCATTAAATAACCCAAAAGGGTTGATATGCTGTTAAAACAAACAACTAAACAAACGGAGCAAGAAAAGGAATAGAGTAGCAATAACACTCCCATGTGTTTAACGTCTTCTTCATTGTCAATTCTGAATATTTTTATTTGTACCCACTTACTTCTGTAAATAATGGCCTGTATTATTGTTTTGGCAATATTTATCTAAAGTGTGTCTAGCGCATATAGTTAACGAAGCAATAGATGAATCTACATCGCAGACAAAAGTCTAGGATTTGAATTGATAATTTTTAAAACAGGAAATATTTTATATGCGAAATATTTCCCAATATAGAGTACGAGAGCCACACAAGGTAGATTTGTGGTTGATTTTGTTTAGTTGCATATCAAAGTCTATGGGTCATTTATCGCCGAAATATTTTATACGCAATTTTATTCCTTCAACTCTAGATATTTTGTACATAATTTTATACTTTAGATATATAATTTGTATATGATACAATGTATTGTTGATAAGTTTTTTGTAAATGTATTGCTGATATTTTCATTAAAATGTATTGTTGGTAATTTCTTATAAAATGTATTGCTTGTAATTTTATAAAAATATTTTTTTTCATAAATTTTTTACATTATATTGGTTGTTATTTTTTTTATAAAAATCTTCTATTGTTGGTCATTTTACTATAAAAATGTAATGTTCCTCTCTTGGAGTTGCTCTCTCATGCTGGTGGCAAACAGAAAAGGTTCTCTTAGGTGATTAAATGAAAGCAGTTTGCTTTGAAGGCATTAAAATTTACAGACCGTTTCTTGCCCCATTTAACAACTGATTGGTGGTTCTTTTCTTGAACAGTTGCCGAGTTAACTTTGACTGAGAAGTTGGTCGAACCAAGAACTTTTCAGCACCTTCGTATACAATCCAGTTCCCAAAATTAGACCAAACATTGAAAGGGTTAGCCTAGATGAAAAAAAATAGGTGTGGGTAAAGTTTCGATTTTTACTTATTTTGAAGGCAATGAAGCTTATTATTCATGGGTGAAGCAATCGTTCTCTTGTCCATGGACCCCATTTATCGTTAGGTAACAAATTTACGCACAGATATATATGTTATGGAAAAAAAACTATGACTAAGTAGAATAAGTTTTGTGTGACGCGTTTAGCACTTCCTCGATATAAACTGACGTTTACATTGACGTAACTGCACAAACAGATCCTCACTGCATATATATATATATATATATATATATATATATATATATATATATATATATATAAAACTCAAATATTTGACAATGCACGCAGAATATGTGGGAAAACTATTGTATGTGATTTTTCAAAGTTTCTTTTTAGCTTTTCGATATTTTCCGTAAGCAGGTTTACAAATATATATATATAAAAGAACGTTAAACATAAATATATATATATATATATATATATATATATATATATATATATATATATATATATATATATATATATATGTGTGTGTGTGTGTATTTAGGGAGTATTTATTCATTGATGCATGTTTCATTAAATAATATAGTTTTGTCTATTTATTTTATGCAAATTCCTTTCATATCGTCTAATAAGCTTAATAATATTTTCATTGAAAAACGTAAGAAAATCACCATATTGATACATGTTTTATAATCCTATCTAAGCTTTCGGCTTACATAAGCCATCTTCAAAGATTATATATATATATATATATATATATATATATATATATATATATATATATATATCTGCGTTTCAAGTACTCTTCATTTTAGCTTATTACTAGTTGTTTTTTTTGTTTTGTTTTGTTTTTTACTTTGTACCAGAAATTTAAGGTACCAGATGATTTCTTTCGCCCTGTTTGGAGGTTTCTACTTCTTTAATTTTTTTTTTCCTAAATTTTTTTTCCTCGGATGCCAGTTTGTTTGAAAATTGTGCTATCCAGGTTTTCTCACCCACTGAGTTTAAATAGATTTTATATATATATATATATATATATGTGTGTGTGCATGTGTGCATGGAGAAATCACACAAATTGGAAAACTGACCTAAAGACGCCTACCTAAGGGAGGGAAATGCGTTGTCAATAAATAGGTCTAACTCATCCACTTTTGCTTGGATTCTATATCCTACTAACTTATATATATATATATATATATATATATATATATATATTTGTGTGTGTGGGTTTCACGAAATTCAAAGCAAAGATGCTTTTAACAAGCAAGTTGGTAATTCATATTTTACAAGTACATGAATGTGCAGACAGTTCGAATAATCGAAAGATTCTACCGTGTCAATCATTCAAGGGAGGAGCCAATGCAGTGAATTAGATCCTGCGAAAGATTTGATCATTTAAGTTTAATATTGCCTGCGACAAAATTTCAATTTACTTGGAAAATTAAAATCCCGCGCGCGATGACATAAGAAAGAGAGAAAAATAAAAAAATTAAACAACTAACCAAAACAAAATTTCTTGACAAAATGAAGAAAAAAAAGACGAAAAAATGAAAAAAAAGAAAAAGAAGTGAAAATAAAACAAAAAATTATTTTCCGTGTAGATTTAAAAAGTTTGTAATTAATTAGATTTCCAATCAGCACAGCAATTGTTTTCTTTTATTCTTTTAGTCTCTGTAATTGTTCTGAAATTCTGTCTGGTTTTTATTTCAGTTCTTGTTCGTTGATGTTACTGCTGCAGATTTAACTGAGACATTTTTTTTGTTTTTCAATTTGTCTCTTTGTTTTTCTTGTATTTGGGTGACGAGTTTGCATCTTCCAAATGACATGACTTTATATTTCAAATATTTATTTATTTTTCATTATTTCGTGTCCTTTTTGATTCGCACGTCTGTAAAAGTTTATATTTTCTTCTCATTTGTTTCTTCATTCCTTCCTGTTTTACTTCATTTATTTTTTCTTATTTTGTTTTATAACATTATTTGGCCTCGTTAGTCGATTTTTATTCGGTTTGTTGTTTCTTTTCTTTTTTTTTTTTTTCATTTTTCGTTATTTTTTTCTTTCTTTCTCGTTTCTTATATTTTGTTTGTCTTTTCATTCCCTTGTTCAGATTTTCCGTAAAGCATTTGACTTCAATTTTTTTTAAATTTTCTTCCATTTTTTTCGACTTAAATTTTCTTTCAGATTTTCATACATGCATAATTTTCTTTCAAATCATTTCGTAAGTTCTCTTCAAATATTTATCAATTTTCATCTCTTCCTTCAATCACTTATTCTAAAGGTCCATTTACTTATTCGTTTTTGCCAACCCTTTTTACGTTTCATTCAATTCTCTTCGTAAAAATCGTTGTAATTTAATACTATTAGAGATATAAGATCAGACACAGCGATATATTACTTAGACCTTATTTTTAGAGGTTACTCATATTGCAGTAGATGCCCCGTTTGGTTCTAGTAATATTCGCCGTAAACAATTTTGCCTTAGGAAACTCGCCTCAGGAATTCTCACCGTAGAAAAGATTTTTGCCTTAAGAGA